GGTGCTGGGGGATTGAACCGCGGTCCCTGATGCTTTGCTAAGCTTGTTCTAAGTAGGTGCTTTAGACCACTGAGCCATCTCTCCAGCCCCAAAATCATTTAAATTTTAGACGAGGAAATAAAGTGTATTCTCCGAGGCATAACTGCGGCCAGCCTTCCTTCTCACTGCACCATCCTCTCCCTACAACAAAGCTGGGTGCACCTGCAAAATAAAATGCAACCATTGTTGGTTGGGCTTTTCTTCTTTTTGACTTCTGTAAGCTCTTGACCTATCTAGAATAGGTCATGTCTTTATTGGCGCCTATTTGAAGTATTTGAAAGCTTAGAGCAGAAATGATGCCCGTAGCCAGGATCAGGCCTATATGAATAGCTTCTGCTTAGTGAATTAGAGGAAAGAATAAAAGATGATTTTTATCCTGGCTGCTCGGTGCTTAACAGCAAAGTTTTAGACACATGAGATAAGCTATATACAGGACCTGCCAGAGATTACCTCTCCAGTTTAGCTTTTATTAGCTATAATAATAATGATTATTTTCTGGAAAGCATTGAATTCAGTATGGCTCCTCTTAGGTCATTAGACCTAGCTTTTAATTAAGAATGTGATTTAAACCAAATTAAGACCCCACGTACTGAAAAAAGTGGAAAAGTTCTTAGAATAGTCACTGAATGGCTGGGATGGGCAGAGAGATTATGCTGTAGGTCTCAAGAGCCTCAGAGTAACTGATTAGCTACTGTTAGGGAAAAAAAATGTCAAAAAGACTTAACTTTTGAGCTTCCTTATTGTGTAATTGATATTATACTTTCATGTTTTCCAGATATCTCGGAGTCGGAGCCCTTCTCCAATAAGATGTACATTGCCAAGTGAGTGGATAGTTAAGATGGCCCACACTTCCTACTCCTTAATACTCGTTCTAGTACTCAGCATTGTGCAGCAAAATGAATGCTTTCCTGGAGGGAGTCTTTTCCCTCTATCTCACAGTATCCATTGCTGGGCCTTCTTAATGGTGATGCCCACTCAGGTTCCTGTGGGTTAAGTAGGAGGAGCTTGCGGCAGGGTGACACAATTGTACCAAGCCTAGGTTTAATCACTCTTCCATTTAGACTCCACGAAAAGAAATCTAAAAGGGTAAGCGCAATTCTGAACTCTTGCTTTTTCTCCATAGGGTTTTGAAGCCAACAGATACATTCCCTTGCCACAGTTCATCGTAACAGCCAACTAACTTCTTCAGTGCCTCCATCCATCTGCCTCACCAGCCTCCGACCTCACTTAACATGATGTGAAAAGAGAGTTAAATGTTTTGGCTCAGCATGTTTGTAACTTCAGATGTATTGCATTTTATTTCTTTATTTTATTTTAGAGATACAGATTCCATTAACTTCATAAAAATGATTGCATAGGCATTTAGGATCATATTCATTTGAAGCAAAGTCCATCATGAAGGGTCAGGGTTTCCATCCTGAAATACAAAATTCAATAGAATTACCTGAGTAGAAGTGAACAGGCTTTACCATGTTGAGTCCAAAAGAAGAGAATCATTTTACTAACAGATTGAGGATAAATATTGTCCTCAATGATTGGTATCAGCTTTTAACTTGACCCTGATACTGGGTGTTTTAATAGCCTTTTGAGGTTTGGAAGACAACGTGTCAGTGTCAGATTGGGATAGTTATAGATCGGTATCAATGACTCCAGGCTCAGTGAAGAAGATAATAAAAGAGTAAAGATAGTTAACTTGCCCCTCTGTTCTTACACTGAGAGCCCCTGGATTGAGTTTTTGAGATATTGGCCACTGAAGCAACTTAGTTGAGAGAAGTTTCTTGCTTCATAAATGCAGAATAGTGGCTTGATTAGAAGTTGGCCTTGAGATAAGTGTTAGTTTGTATTTATCATTAGGAATGTTTCGCTATATTAATCCATCTTACCTGGAATATGCCATTTCCCTATTCTACCCACTTGTTTGCAAATTCAGACCTCCTATGAACTCATCTGACTAAAAGTATCCGAACTCAAATCCTAGAACTAGAGGCCTAACTCACTGATTATAAATTGAGCTTATTTCCCTTGATTTCTTCCTTGTGAGGTGCTTTTAAAAATTCACATGTAGATAAAAATGACTGCTGTGTTCTTTAGATCAAGTTTTTTATGTTTTTCTTTTCAAGCCAGCCTTAGACACACAAGCTTTACTACTGTTGACTGTCTTTTTTATTTACCTTTCAAGGACAAACTTTGGATTGGCCAAAACTCAGTTGGCATAAGTTCAGGGCCAAATCCAGATTTAAAAAAACACCCAGGGGCTGGGGACGTGGCTCAGTGGAATAAGCGCTTCCCTGGCAAGTGCAAGGGCCTGAGTTCAGTCCCCGGTTCCACAAAACAAAACAAAAACAAAAACAAAAACCCTACATATTAACTACTATTTGGGGGCCTGCCCCTTAGCTCAGTTCTTTAAGTGGCTGCTTCAACAAAGCAGTCAGGCTCAGGTTGCTGTGGTTTGATCCCCACAACTCAAGCCAGCCAAACCTGACCTGAAGGCATTCGGAGAAAAAAAAAATCCTTCTGCCTTTTAAAAAAGAAACAAACAAAAAAACCACCCAGAAACAACTTCTGTAGAGCATCTTGCCTCTGTGCTGGTGTTGGAAGTGGGTAGAAGGACTCCTTTACCTTTGCCTCACTGGGCCCGATGGTCACCAGCTCAATCAGCGTAATTTTTCTCCCTCTCAGTACATTTATGTTGTCATCTACATGAAGCCAAGTGGTATGTCGGAAGGAGCACTGTGTCCAGAGAGCTCCTAGCCCTCCTTGGTAATTTATTCGCTTTGTAACCTTGAACTGGTTCCTTCACCTCTCAGACTCATGGTAGAATGAGTAGGTTGGATGAAAGTAATGGTTCTCGTAACCCCACCGGGCTGAATGTCTCTTTTATAGCAAACATTCTGGATATCTTAGAATGAAAGTCAAAGTTAATAATCTATGCATATGTTTAACTTGCACAGTGAATATAATAACTGTTACCGTAAAAATAAAGAAAAAAGAAAGCAGTTTTTAATAAAATACATTTCAATAAAAATCCTGGGAAGTAGTAAGGTAGAAACAATTGAGCTGAATCCCTCCCCTGCATTCAGCTATAAACATCAGACCACCCCGTTTTATCCATGCTCCTATAATCCGAAGACTAAGAAGTTACTTGAGCATTTGCCTTCTTTCCATCCAACCACAGACACAAATCCACCCTGAGGTCATTCAGGCTTAATAATGGGAGGCTGCACAGATTGCTGACATCAAGAAAGAGAAAATAGTGGGAGACATCTAAGACCAGGGAGTGTCAGGCCCTATAAATACTAGAAGCCTGAGTTACAAAGCCTCTCTTTGCCTACTTGGGCATTTTGCCCCTTTCTGCTGCTGCCCCATGATCTTTAATAAACTTACTACATACTATGGGTCATTCGCTTGGCAGTTCTTTCTTTGTTTTATATAACCTGGACTAGTTTTGGCCCACTGAAGGGTAGCATCTGGTGAGCCAACCAGGAGAATACCTGAGCTTGGGAGACCTCACCAGATGCTAGAGTCATCAACAACCCGGAGAACTTTGGAAAGCTCGGTGAGAGTGGGCAACCAGACAACACGGCCAACACGGGAGGCAACACTTCACTGTTGGGAGATTATTTCTGGGAGACAAAATGGATTCCTGGGAGGTGCAGTGAACCAGTTGCCATGTGGAGAAGACTAGACAATGGGACAAAAACCTTCTGTTCTTATGGGGGACAGGAGGGACCCTGCCCCTCATTTGGGCTTACATTCTGTTTTTTTTTTGGCTGTTAATTATTACATTCTGTTGTTGATCAACACAATGTGGACAGTCTACCTTGAGGCCCATGGCACAAGCCTTATCAAGGATGGGCATGAGCCAAGCAGAGTAGGAGAAGAGCCCACCAGAGTAGGGGAGAAAGCTATGGGTAAACAGCTGCTTTGGTGTGCCCACGCACAGCAGGGGTGCAGAGGCTACAGAACTGGCTTGCCAGAAGTCTAGCAACAAAAAACAGAAGAGAGAAACTGGTTTATTTAAACACTCCCCTCCACCGCCTACTTCCTGTGAACCAGTGAGTGGCAGAGCCATCACTAGCTGACTTGTGTAATCTGGGTTCCAGAACTCTGCCTGAAACCATTGTCTCCTGGGTAGCTTGCTGATTTCGTTTGCGTTTTTATTTTTTTGTTTGTTTCTTAAAAACAAAACCAGTTTTGCTTTTTTTTTTTTTTAAATTTTTCCCATAATTTTATTGAGAAACAAATAACAATGAGACAGTTTCAAATCAAATTGGTAGGACAGTTTCAATAATTCATACATTGTATACATTCTTCCTAGTGGTTAATTGCTGTATAAGATACGGACATGATATCCTATTTACAAACACCATTAGAACAAATCACTCTATTCATTAAGAGAATGTAACTATATATCTATC